ATAGCAAAAAGATTATTTGGCGTGTACATGTATTATTTTTATATATATACGTAACACATATATAAATAAATAATTTATTTATTTTTATATACACACACAAACACACATGTATATATATATATATATGTATTTATAAAAGAAGATTCAATAGATGATGACGTAAGTTACAACACACAACCGATGACGAGGGACGACTCGAAAGTAGGCCAATAAAAGATCCATTATTCAGCGTTAATAACGCATACTTAAAGTATCTACGATGAAACGAGATAAATCATGAAATCTTATTTCTTTTTTTTTGCTTTTCCTTTTTTATTTTTTCTCTCCAATTCAAATGAAACATTCCATCGTTTATATCATCGCAATATCAACACAACAACATTAATAATAATGTTAATATAATCAAGATTTTTTTCTTATCCAAAATTTATTAATATTATTACTTATGAACATAACTATCAAGTTGCTGAGGAAGTCTCAAATAGAGACGAAACGTTCAACGGATAAATATAGTGTTCATCTTAATTAAACCCGTCCAAAAAACAACCTCCCTAAGAGTAAACTTAGTAATAATATTAATAATAATAATAATCAGTATAACCATCGTAATACATTGTATTATTTATCATCATTATTTATCTTATAAATATATATCATTTTATAGAGAAAAAATCTAATATAGAAAATAATCTTATTAATTATACCTTTCTCTCATTATCTCGCGTAAAATATTTCACAGAGAAAAAGTAAGGAGAAAAAAATGAATGTGTGTGTATACTCGAAGAAACGATTTTCTTCTTCACTCTCTCTCTTTTCTTTTTATGGTCTTTTCATTTTATCTTTTGGTCGATGGGGGGGGGAGGAGGAGGGGGGAGAATACGTCGACGCTTAACAACGACATTAACTTTCTTCTTAGACATTTCGGGACGTCCCATAAAGTAAATTGACAGAGAATAATACTGTTGTACAAATACGCGTGAACGAAGTTGTTTGGGTTGGATTGGTAGAAAAAAAAAAAAGAAAAAGAAAAAAGAAAAAAAATAAATAAATAAATAAATAAATAAAGAAAGAAAGAAATAGAAAAGAATGAAGAGGAGCGATGTGGATGAGGGGTGAGACTGAGGCTTGAGGATGGGGTTGATGGTGGTAAAGTTGGTAGTAATAGTAGTAGTATTAGTAGTGGTGGTGATGGATGTGGTAAATGTGGTGGTCTTGGTGGCTTGGTGATGGTGGTGGTGGTTCTGGTGGTGGTGGTAGTGGTGGTAGAGAGTAGAGACGAATAGAAGGGGTGAAGGGGGTAGGTAGGTAGGTAGTGGTGGTGATGCAGAGAGAGAGGGTGAGAAGGGGGTGAAGAGGGGGAGGGTTGTGTGGTGGTGGAGCACGGGTTTCGCGTTCGATCGATAGGCAGAGGCAGAGGCAGCTTCCTTCAAAGGAAAATTCCTCACGCTATTAAATCTAATTTAAAAACTTTTATTCCCTCCCCCGTGTTCGCTTCTCCTCCTCCTCCTCCATCCACCATCCTTCTCCATCCTTCTCCTCCTTCTCCACATCCACCTCCGCCTCTTCTCTCTCCCGACGGCAAATTTATTTTCCTTCGCTCCCCTTTGTGAAAGGGAATAAATTGCTAAAAGGATTTCGAACAATATAACGCTATCTATCATCCAAGCCCAAGAGAGAAAGAGATAGAGAGAGAGAGAGAAAGAACGAGAGGGGGGTGGTTGGTAGGGAGGGTGGGTTAGGGTAGATTCTTTGATTCTGCTTTCGCATTCTTCTTTCCTTCTCTCTTTGTATCTCCGTCTATCCATCTATCTATCTATCTCTTTTTCATTTTCTTTCTCTTCCCTTTTCTCCCCTTCCCCTCTTCCCCCCTCTTCTATCTATCTATCTATCTATCTATCTATCTCTTTCTTTCTTTATTTCTTTCTTTCTTTCTTTCTTTTTCTATACTCCTCGTTTCCCCCTCGTTTCTTCTCATTTTCATCTACCTCAATCTCTTCGAGGGGGAAGGGGGGTGTTTTTTTTTCCTTCCCCCATCTATTTTTTTTTGTTCTTCTTTTTACCCTTCCTAGACCAGAAACAAAGAATAAGAAGGAGGAGGAGGAACGTGCGCGATTGTTTGAATCATTAACCGTAGAAAATATCCCTCCCTCCCCCCCCCCCCGCCCCGGTGCAATGAATTTGAATTTAATTGTATACGCTTTCTTTTTGTTTTTTATTCGTATTCATGTATTTTATTTCGTCTATGCGCAAGGATTCATAATAATAATAATAATAATATAATAAATACGTATAATATTCGTAATTAAAAGAGGGTGGTGGGGTGGGGGTTGATAGGGATAAAAGTATAACGATATTAAAAATTAATATCTTTTTGTTATTTTGATTATGTTCCATATAGACATTTCACACGCCAAGTTTCGGAGATGAGGTTTTTGACATACCACCCATCCATCCGCATCCACATCAGCAACATCAACCGCAACAACAACAACAACAGCAGCCTCAGCAACAACAACCTCAGCATCATCAACAACACGATCCTATGCACGGATATCAGTCGCAGGTAATTTGTTTTTTTGTTTTTTTTATATCGAAATAAATTATTAACCTCGTGATATTTGTGTTTTCTTTTTTTTTTTTTTTTCTTTTAATTAATAATAAAAAAACGTAAAATAAATTTAATGTTAACGTAAAAACTCGAATTCTTTATCTTTCATTATCAATTTATCTATCCATCTTATTATTATTCTTGTTTTATTTGGAATTCGTTATGTTACTTTAATTAGGGTTGCAACTGTGGTAAAGTTGTATACATGCGTGTAAACCTTGTACGTAAATTTATGAGAGACGTTTTACGAGTAACGCGCATGTCATTAATAAGACAGCATTCACCGGATAAAGTGCAACGTGACGGATAGGAGGTGGGTTGGGGTGGGTTGAGGGGGTAGGGGGATAGGGAGTAGGGGGAGTGGGAAGAGCATTCTATAAATTATTATAAAGCATTATGCACTGCTTTTGCCTCCTTATCGTGATTTATAGCTCTTTCTGGATGGAGTTACGACGATAAAGAAGTGTATACGTATAAGTATTGGTATTGGTATTAATAGTAGTAGTAATAGTAGTAGTATCCTTTTCGTTTTGGGGTCGTTGCTTTAAAGAAAAGTAAAGAAAAAAAAAAATAAGAGAGAGATGGATATATATATATATATATATATTTAAAGATAAAGAATGAAAGTTTTAAAAATTATATTCGAAACTTTTTGCATGAATAATATTCCAATGCGGAAGTAGTTAAATCTTCAATACATCATTCCGACGAACGTTTTCTCGGTTTTCTTCTTACATTAAGAGGAGGGTAAACTTTTGTACTCTTGTATGTATGTGTGGCTTGCGTGAATGCATTAGTGTGTATGTATGTGTTTTTTTTTATATACGAGTGTGTTTTTTAACATCAGAAGAGAGTAAAGTTCCTCTGAGGGCATGGTTGGTATAAAAGGTTCTCGTTAAAAGAAAGAAAAGAAAACAAACAAACAAAAATATGAAAAAAAAGAAAAAAAAAAAGAAGAGAGAGAAAGAAAGAAAGAAAATAATATTCTATTGTGTCGTCACAGATGATACAGTCCGCTGGAATGCAGCAATCTCCGGATGGCCTCAGTCTCGATCCCGGTGGGTACCAACAACCGTTGTACCTGCAACAGGAACACTCGATGCAAGCCATCAATGTCAGGTAAAAAAATAAATTCATTTTTTTATATATATATATATATATATTTATATACGTAGATTTAATTATTGAACCCAAGATTTTGTATTTTTTTAGTCGTACATTTGAATCATTATTTAAGGTACACACAAGATCACGATTTAATTAGCATTCATTTTGTTTTTTTGTTTTTCATATTTTTTGATATCTCATTTGGTAAAAGTATAATCATATCATTTGCTGCGGAACGAGTTGAAAGAAATAATATCCTTTTTTTTTTTTCTTTTTCTTTTTATAATTCTGTTTATTAGATATAAGAAATATAATTTGTGCGTTTTAATTACCTAGTCGGATTTCGCCGGTATTTTCTTTTTACCAGTCGGGCACGGGGGTACGCTTTGTGGTTTTACGATCGGAAAATAAAAAAGAAAGAAAGAAAGAAAGAATGAGAGAAAGATAGAAGTAATTTAAAAAGTTTCAAAGAGAAATGAGAAAAAGGAAACACAATGTAATTAATTTGGAAAATCTCTCGTAGATAAGAGAATTGTTAATAGAGAAAAGAGATAAGGAACAAAAAAAAAAAAGAAGAAGAGGAGGGATGATTTTTAATTTGTTCTCTTAATGATAAATAAAAATAGAAATAAATTGAAATTAACGTGTTAATTTGAAAAGGAAAAAGAAGTATGCAACTTTTTTTTTTTTATCGATTCTTTCGCGTACCGCCAACAACAACAACAACAATAACCGTCTTAACAAATTAAAAAGACAATAAAATAAATAAAAAAAAAGAAGAAAGAAACCCAGTGAGATATCCATAACACTAACGAAAAAAAACAAAAAAGAAACAGAAAAAGTATCAGGACCGGTCGGAATGACCGGTTTTAAATTTTGAATTAAAATTCAGCATTCAAATGTTAATTGCTTTTCTTCATTTGCCTTTACGACCCCATTATAATCATAAACAGATATTTTATTATTATCGAAAAAATCATCTTACATGTATATATAATTTAAACTTGTATACCAAATTGATTATTATCTGCATTCAATTTAAAAAGAAAGAAAGAAAAAACACAAAAAAAGAAGAAGAAAACATAAATTTTATTAAAATATCAATAATTCATTCGAGATTCTGGTTACGGATATAATAATCCCCCATTATATAATACATAAAAATAATAAACTCTCTTATACGATATAAATATTGTATATATATAATAATTAATATGAAAATAATTTAATTAAAAAAAAATATTACTTCTCGCGTGACAAAAAAAAAAAGTCGTCAACGTTTTCTAATTAAAATTCGTAATATAAAATACAGGAAACACGTAAAAAAAAAAAAAAAGAAACACACAACCGGTATATATTGTATGTTTCTATTTGTAATTTGGTGTATAAAATGAACGAACAAGTTTCTTCTTTCCTTCCCACCCTCCCCCTTATCAACCCCCCTTCGTTGTCCCGAGTCAGCAATGAAACATGTCAGTCTTTCTCTCTTTCTCTCTTTCTTTTTCTCTTTCTCTCTGGCACGTTAATGCTACTTTCTTCGTTCATTCGTCCTTCTCGAATTGACCATCCGAAAAGAAGAAGAGTTCTTTCTCGTTCGTTCCCGCGACACTCGAACAAGTGGCGATGATTGGAGAATAAGCAAGCCAAGGCCCAACAAAGGAAGATTAATGAGTCCTCGGGCTTTCGTGCTTCTTCATCGTGTTCTTCTTCTCTCTACTTCTTATTCGTTTTCTTTCCCTTTTCCTTTTTTTATTCCCTTTTTCTTCTCTTCTCTCTTTTTCTTCATATCAAGGACCAATGACGTTTCGAAACGTCTCTCTCTCTCTCTCCTTTTCTTTTTTTCTTTTTATTTTACTGTTGAGAATAGATTAGTAATTTCTCTCGTAGTATCGAATTTTTCGACTATTTGTCTTATTTTATGTTTTCTTTTTTGTTTCATTATTATTATTATTATATAATGATATGGAATGATATATATCTTTAATGGCTTTTATTCCATATGCATATTTATTATCTTCTTTGATATATTTCGTAATAAATTGTATAATATTTTGTTTTACTTACTCTCAAAAGTATTATTAGAATAACTTGGCAAAAGAGAAAGAAAAGTGATAGTTGAAATTTTAATTATTATTTATTTCTGCAAACAAAATATATAATATTTTCACGTAGATGAATTTTTAGTAACATAAATATAAGAATAACTTAACAAGAAAGAAAAGAAGATTGACTGTTTTATTAAATATTTATGTAAAGTAATATATTCATGCAAACGAAATCCATTTTTCTCCTATAACAACATTTGATATATTTCATAAAAAAAAAAGAAAAAAGAAAAAAGAAATGAAATAAAATAAGGAATCATAATGAGAGTCGATTCCTTTTTTAAAAATATAAATCACATAATATATACACTCGTCTATAATAAATATTCTAATTTTTCTGTTTTTTTTTTTTTTTGGGTTCTTTTCTTTTTACTAGATAAGATATAAAGAGAAGAGTATAATAAAAGAGAAGATAAAAGCTATAAAAAAGGGAATTCATTATCATACTATTTCCATTACCACTTTGACTCTTACCGTAGTAGAATATTTGAAGTATATATTTAGAAGTCTTTTGTGAATTGTCACAAAAGAGAAATCGTAAAAACGTTTTTAAATGAATTCCGTGAAATTGAATTGCCCGGTAGTAGTAGTTGCTGTGTAACCAGTGGTTGCTGACCCTTGTGTGGCATACATACATTCTATTAATACATATACGAAGAATTAATAATATTCGTGAGAAAAATAAAAAGAAATAAAGAAAATACCATTAACCGTTGAGAAAAGAAAGAGAAGAGAAATAAATACAAACACAATAATCTTACATGAAAAATGAACAATCTCATCTCGCGTATGCAATTTAGGGCTCGTACAAATCATTTTTCTTTCTTTTTATGTTTAAAGTAATAATAGTACAGCATAAAAACTAGTTGCAATAATAATAATGAATAAAAATCATAATAATAATAATAATAATAATAATAGGTACCACCACTTCTCAACGATATTGTTAACTCGTTGATAGAATTGAAAGAAAAAGGGGGGGGGAAGGGGAGGGTTTTAAACGTGTGAGTGTTTCGTTAAATTTTTCTTCACATTTAAATGTACTTTCTCGTAAGAGGGAATCGATTGAAAGAAACTTCTCGTCTGTCAGTGGCAAGCAAGACATTATTATTATTATTATTACCCGACGAGAGAAATAAATAAATAAATGAAGAAAAAAGAAACACGGTGGAATAGTAGAAAAAGAAAAAAAGAAAAAAGGTACTAAGGCAGTCCGAGAACTTTGTTAAAACTACAAGCATAAATCTTTTTTGGATCTGTAAAAGTAGAACCAAAAGTTCCAATGAAACGAGTCGAGAGACTTCTCGTGGTAATGGTAATAGTAGTTTTACTAGTAATAGTAATAGTAATAGTAGTAGTAGTAGTAGGAGTTAAGAAGGAAGGAAAAAGTTCTCTCCTGGTTTTTTGGTATTACTTTGTGTGGGATCTTTGCTTGTAAGAAAAAAAAAAGACATCGACAAAAGTAAAACCAAGAATAAGAAACAAACAAACAAACAAACAAAAATAGAGGAAGCATTGATTAAGCAGCCGAGGGTTTGCGCATAGAAATAGTAGGACTATTTGCACGTAGAAGAGTACGATTGCAAAAGGTAGTGGTTTCTATCTGTTTTTTTTTTTTTTTTAATATCTTTTTTTTTTTTGTTGCGATTTCTCAACTAAGCCAATGAATATGCAATAGCAATCGAAAGGTAATTCGTACGACCATTTGAAATCCAATTAGTACTCGGTGTTCTTTTTTTTTTTTTTTACGATTTTATTTCTATTCTTTATACTTTGTTTTTTGTCGTTTGACCCAATTTATTTATTTATTTTCTTTTTTCTTTCTATGTCGTGTGTGTGCGTCGTTGGAGATAGAGAGTGAGAGAGGGGGGGAGGGGAAATCGAACGCGAGAAAAACGATTGGATGTAGTTTATAAGTATAAATACGTGGGAGTGAGATAGATATATATAATATCCGATTCGAAGTGGAAAACACGAAAGTGGTAGTTGTAGTTGTGATGATGAAGGAGGAGGAGGAGAAGAAGGAGGAGGAGGAGGAGGAGGAGGAGGAGGAGGAGGAGGATTGAAAGATAGAAAGAGAAGAGTAATAGTAGTGTAGTATTGTAGTAGTAATAGTAGTAGTAGTAAGGTAGTATTAGTATTAGTATGGAGATGCCGAGAAGATGGCTGATGTAGAGTAGGCTGTAAATCCTCCGACGCTGACACAGCGCCGGTCATATCTCAAAAGTTATCCAATTTGTGTTAAAATAGCACTCGCTATGGATCCTCCTCCTTCTCCTCCTTTACCTCTACCACCTCCTCCTCCCTCCTCTCTACCCTTCTTCTTACTGTTCCTTACACCACTCCCTTGGGGTTGCCTTCTCCCACCGCAAACGACCTATCTTCTTTCTCTTTCCCTCTCTCTCTCAATTCCATTTTGCTTTCTATTTCTCTAACCTCTAACAATAATAATTATGCTTATTGTTTTATATATACATTTAAAAAAATATTAAATCATTTTTTCTTTTTTTATCCTTTCAATAACACTCTTTCTATTCTATTATTATTCTTTCATTAAATTAATACACATATATTATATATATATAAAAAATACAAATATTATAACCAACTCAAGAAAAATAAGAAGCCTGCTTTTGCAATAATATATTAATTAAGTTTTTGTTTCATTTCGTTTTAGTTCAGCGTATAGCAGTCCTCAAGGATCATATACGACTATGAGTTCACCACGTCAACAGCATAGTAATTTGTTGTTACTTCAACAACAACAACAGCAACAGCAGCAACAACAACAACAACAACAGCAGCAACAACAACATCAGCAACAACAACAACATCAACAACAACAGCAACATCAACAACAAGTGCAGCTGCAACATATGCAATATATGCATTCACAGCAACAACAACAACAACAACAACAGCAACAACAACAACAACAACTTCAACAATTACAATATAGGAGCCCAACCGGTGGTAGTCCACCTGCTATGCAATCTAACATCCCTGAAAATAATAATACTACGACTAGCGAAGATAGTGATGACAGTACACCTCATTCGGGGACTGTAAGTGGTTTTCCTTATCATTATTTTGATAATTACAAAATCTGTTCAATGTATGTTTAATACAAATTGTAATATACCATTTATTATATTTTCTTTTTTTTCCTTTTCGTATTATTTTTTATTTTTTGTCTTTTTCTTTCTTATCAGATCGCAGGAATAAAACGACCGTCACCAGAACCGACAGATGTGGGAGCTAAAAATCAGAGAAAAACTAAATCGCAAAAGAAGAAGAAGAAGAGAGACCCTAACGAACCCCAAAAGTGAGCCCAGTTTGAAGCTGTTATTTATTCTTCGAATCCAAAACGCTGAACTACTGAACCGTTTGGAAGTATCAGTTTTGATTCGTAATAAAAATTATATTTTTACGAATGAAATCAACAATTTTTATTGACAATTAGAATATACTTGATAATTAAATAATTGTTTTTCTTTTTATTTTTTTTTTTTCTGAAGGAATTTTAAAACACGCTTTTGATATTAAAGTTAAATGCTAATATTTTGTTGATAATATTACATTTCTTTAGCCTACTTTTTTTCTTTTTTTTTTTACTTTCGTGATAATTGCATGTTGTGCATCTCACAATCGGATAAAAAGAAAAAAAGAAAATAATTTAAATTTAATGTATATAACATATACAGATATCTAAAAGAACAATTTCGTTTTTTTCAGACCAGTCTCAGCGTACGCTCTCTTCTTCAGGGATACACAAGCAGCCATCAAAGGACAAAATCCTAATGCGAGTTTCGGTGAAATTTCTAAAATAGTTGCATCAATGTGGGATGCTTTGGAAATCGAACATAAGAACGTGAGTAACTAACTATTATTTCTTTCCTTTTTTTTTTTTTTAGACTACCGTAATCATATATGCATTTTGCAATTTGATCTAAAAACTTATATTATTATAATCGTGAGCTGGCAATTTTTTGAAAAATAAATTCACGATAAAAGATTCGATCGATTTGAAAATTGATTTTAATTAAAAAAAGAACAAGAAAAAAACTTCTTACAAGATCGACAACCAAACAATTTCTTCTCTTCAAATTTGTTCCGAAAAAAAAAAAGAAAAAACAAAAAGAGAGTTCGATTGATTTAAAACGATTTATTTAAACAAGCTTTTTAAACTTTATGCCCGCCATAAAGATGAAAAATATCGGAGTTATTTCTTGACTCATGTTGATAATATTTCTCAATTTTGTACACGTCGAAAGACACACGAATAAATTATCTCGAAGAATCGAATCACTACGCAAACTCACGCTCTCCTCATACACTTTTACATACGAATATATATAGGGAATATATATATATATACATACAAACGTTGGAAATAACAAGTTTAAAAGAAGGAACGTATATACATAATATACACATATATACATATATATATATATATATTCCGTTGTGCGTTTTACGTGATAGAATGGAACCGGTTTACGATATACCAGTCCCACTATTTTTCTCCGCTCTATTTCGTAGGAACTTATACTTAACTTGTACACTACAACGTCCCGAATAAAATTATTATATTTCTGCTCGCGTAACACACACACACACACACACACACGTCGAATGTTTAAACTTAACTTTTATCCATTTAGAAAAGATCAAAAGAAAAAAAACCCAAAGTAGAAAATAATATGAACACGATCGACGTTTAAGATATTTTTGTTTTTAAATTTTATAGTTTATCTTCTTATTTATCTTACCTTATAATTTTTTTCTTTTTTTATTTATATGCGTATGATACGCATATATATTTATATATGTATGCATGAGTATCAGCCATTGCAATTTAACTCACAAATTTTTTTCCATTCTTTGTCGCGGGGATCATAAATTATTGTGAATGAATATTCGAAAAAAGAATTTCGAAAAGAGAGAGAGAGAGAAGAAAAGAAAAAAAAGAAACATCATTGGATAAGAGAAAAACTCGAAATTCGTTTACATTTCGAATTAATTCAGGAACGGGAACGAGACCATATTTTATATTCTTCCAATTTTCAAATGTGTCGAATATGTGTGTGCGCATGTGTTGTACGTGAATATGAAATAATAGAATGAAGAAAGCTAAAAAAAAAAAAGAATAGAAACAATAAGGAAAGAAAAAAAAAAAAAAGTAAGTTTATATTTGACATTAATTCAGGACAAACGAGAGACATATTTTTTATTTCACTAATATTCATCGTAGAAAATTCAAATGTGTATATAAGTATGTGCGTGTGCGTGAGTGTGTGTGCAATAAGAGAATGGAGAATATGGAGAACAATAAGAAGACAAAAAGCTTGTATTTTTAATTAATTCAGAACAAACGGGACATATTTTTTATTCCGTTAATATTCAAATATGTATATATATATATATATATATATATATATATATGTACGTATATATATGTATATACGTGTATGCAATAATAGAATGGAAAACCTAGCTAGCTAGCTAGCAAGCAAAATACAAGAAAAAGAAAGAGTTTATATTTTAAATTAATTCATAACAAACGAGTAGTCTTTCTCTCTCTCTCTCTCTCTCTCATATTTCTCGTTAATATTCGTTATATAAATTCGAATATATCTCTATATACAATATAATAATATATATCTGTACTTTTAGTGTGAATATTTTTATAATAAAAAATTCGTAGACTTTTTAATTAGAAAAGAAAAAAGAAAATATAAATGAAAAGTAAAATACAAGAGAAAATAAATTGTCGAATGTGATAAGAAGAAGAAAAAGAAAAAAATATAAAGTAGTAAATGTGTGATAGTGGTGGTGGTGATAAAAAAGAGTGGATGAGGGTGGTGGTGGTGGTGGTGTAAGGGGGGTGGACCGTGGCGGAAGGGAAACAATATATAAGAGGATAATTCCGTGGAAAGTGCATTTTAATTTCGCTACATCTAGGACGACGATATGCAGTTAGACTAGGTGGAATCTTGATTAAATTCCCTTTCCGTACCCGTTTTGCAAGGAGAGAAAGAGACCACCACGTTTCTTTCTTCCTTTCTTTTCTCTCTCTCTCTCTCTCTCTCTCTCTCTTTCCATCTCTGTCTATTTTTCTCCCTTGTCTTTTTTTCTTTCATTTTCTCTCTTTTTTTTTTTTTTTTCTTTTTCTTTTTCCTGTCTCTTATTCTTTCGTTTCTTACTCGTACTACACGCACCATAGCAGAAACGTTTTTTATCGTGCGAACATATTCTTTCCGGACTGTAAAGAGAGAGAAAAAAAAGAAAAGGGGTGTGAGCAGGAGAGAGGGTCTGGGGAGGAAGGGTGGTGGAGGTAGGAGGGGGTTTAGAGAAATGAAAATTTGCACTTTGTTGCCTATAAAGAAAAGGAAAGAAGAGAATAGAATAAAGAGAAAGAGAGAAAGAGAGAGAGAGAGAGAGAGAGAACATAAAAGTTGCTTTTCATTGCGAAACTTTTGTTAAATGAAAGAAATACCCGGATGGTTGGTCTCTCTTTTTAGAATTATTACTAACATTTGATCATTAATATATGAAAAATAATAATAATAATAAAATATAATATTTTTGACAATAATAATAGCTCTTTTTACGAAAATAATTTTCTAAAACTTGACTTTGATATAAATAAAAATATTTTTACATCGCGATAAGTATCCCGTTGTAATCAATTTTCAAATGTGTGAGCGCGCGTTATTATTATTATTATTATTATTATTATTATCATCATCATCCTAGAATTTCTAATTTATATTTCTTCCTTTTAAAATACTATTACTGTTACTATTACTCATAGCAAATCGTAGCAATCTAACATCTAATTTTCATGCCCCTCACGGATAGTCGTAAACTCACCGCTACGATAACATTGTCGGAGTTTATTACATTGCATCTATCGTGTTGATTTTTTTTTCTTTTTTTCTTTTTTTTTTTTTTTATTGTTGTTGCATCGATTGCATTCAAACTAATTACTATTATCATTATTATACCTCTCACATAGAAAACGAAATAACGTATCTTACGGATGAATAAACACGTCGTTTACTAATCAAGAAAACACATGTTATTAAAATGTAATACAGGGTTATACAAAAGTTCTTAGATAATTTAAGAAAAAAAAAAAAAAATAATAAAACAATTTGTTTTCTTTTTTGTTTTTTTTTTATTTCAGGACAAGTTTAAAATTCTCTCAAATAAATTGTAATAATCATTTTATCCTTTTCCGATACTTTTTTTTCTAATTTTCTCGTAGTCAAATTAGATTTATAAAGTTTTACAATCCGCGCGAAAGAAAATGATTATTAGCTTAAATTAAAAAAAAAAGTCTTGGAAATAAAGTAATAACGTTACTTTGAAAATAATCTTATAAAAAACTTTCCAATCTATCTAGAAACTTTTTACATACCCTATATATATAAATGTATTAGGTTAAACGAAAAGAAAAGAAAAGAAAAGAACAAAATGTTAACTTATGAAGCATTAAATAAATCGATTAGTTCGAATCAAGTTTTGAGATCGTATAATTTATATATCGTTCAATAAAAAACAAATTTCTAGTAGGAAGTTTAAATTAGAATTATGATTAGATTGTGAGATACACAAACGCGCGCGCGCGCGCACACACATATTGTAATGTAACATATTATCTCGGAACGATTGAAAAGTTTACATGTTGGAATAAAATCGGTTCGTGTTTAAAATTTTCTATTCACTTCCGGTATGTACGATAACTTCGTCAAACACAGTAGCGGTAAATTATAAATGATGTTGGCTTATAGTTCTACTACGATCGATAAAACTCGTTCGTTCTATCTTTCTTTTTCTCTCTCTCACACACAAATACACAATACACACATATATATATATATAAATATACTTTTTTCTTTATCCTTCGAACACAAGCCACGACAAGAAGTTACTTTAATAGTCTTTAGAACTGCATATATTGGACACGTGGCTATCAAAAATAAGACTATAAGTAAGTCGAAGTAGTAGAAGGTTGGCTTTCCACTTCGATGTCATGCGATTATATCAACGAAAAGAAGAAAAATAAAAAGAAAAAAGAAAAAAAAGAAAACAAAACTAGAGATACAAGAATGTAAATTGGCAGGTGTATCATGTTACTCGTTATTAAATATGTATATAATATATATATGTGTATGTATGTATTGTATACATTCAAAACTTGCTGCCTGCAATGCGGCAAATGCAAGAGATATCCGGGAAAGGAATTAAGAATATATTACGATGGGATCAAATCTGAAAACAAATTATTTGATTACTCATACACTTATCTTCCGCGATTAATTATTTAAAACATATCAAACAATATTATGCAAATGAATTATTAATGAATATACACCACGTTCATTATAAATGTACAATAAAATAATTGCTATATATACATTTGCATAAATATGAATATATATATATATGTATTTAAATTAATACATTTTTGAACTTTTTGTTTCAGGTTTATAAGAAAAAGACTGAAGCAGCAAAGAAGGAATATTTGAAGGCTTTAGCAGCGTATAGGGCTTCTTTGGTTAGTAAAGGAGCAGCTGAGAATGAACAGCAACAGCAACAGCATCAGCAACAACAACAGCATCAACAACAACAACAACAACAACAACAACAGCAACAGCAGCAACAACAACAACAGCAGCAAGTGCAATACACCGGATATCCTAATTACGGCGGAAATGGTGCACCAGGAAATGTTGCTTATGAAGTTTACAGTCCGCAACCGCAACCACCATCACCTCAACAACAACATCAACAACATCAACAGCATCAACAACATCAGCATCAACATCAACATCAACAACAACAGCAGCAACAACAGATGGCCATTAAGAAGTCACCGCATCATCTTACGATGCAGGGTAATCCTCAACAGCAGGCACAACAGGTAATTGCCAGACTTATTTCTTTTTTTTTTCTTTTCCCCCTTTCTTTCTTTTACTTTTACATATCTTTCTTTTAATCGCCGTAAACATATACGAGATGAGAAGGTGAAACCTTTTACATTCGGTTGCAGGGATTATTGGGCAATGCCATGGCATCGGCGCATATGACGCAACAACACATGCAGCAACAGGTGTCACAGCAGCAGTACATGCAGGTCGGTGTAAGAAAGTCTTACATATGCGTACATGCATCTGTATGTATATATTCCTTTATTTTTTTAAAGTCGTATTCAGTCTAATAAATTATCCCAAATCGAGAGGAATTAAATATTAATTAATATATATAGAAATCAGATTAATCACACACACACACACAAGTAGTACATTACTTATAATAGTATAATAATAATATTAATTAAAAAGAGAATGTTTAGAAATTTTTTAAATCCTGCGCCGCTTTGCATATATCGTATTAGAACGATATCGAATCTTACGATTAATCAAGCCGCAAAATGGCTGCCACGAATGCTTTTGATACATCCAATAAAATATACTCTATTTTTTGCTTACGACAACCCGGAAGTTATTATTTTGTGAGTAAAGTTGTCGTTTAAGTGGATAGTATTTTTTAACAAGGTCAAAACCATTATTTAGAAAATATTCCATGATACCATGTAAAACATAACCTCCAAAATATATATACAAAAACCCCAAATAAAGTATATTTATAGATCATTCTGACAACAAGTTTTTTTTTTCTATATTTGATGTAGGTGCCACAGCAACAAGTACAGGTACAAGTACCGCAACAACAACAAATGATTCATATGAGTCCTCCTAGAGGAGACTCACTTTCAAGCCCACCTCCGGTAAGTGCTTCGCAAGCTGCCATGGTAGGACAAAGACAGCCAACAAATGCATGTATCCGTCATGGATGTCCAAATCCTGCTGTAGCCAATAGCGAATGGGAAGATGAGTATTGCAGTAATGAGTGCGTGGTCAGCCACTGCAGGTTTGTGTGAGCATTCTTTGTATTTCTTTATTGCCACATTAACTCGTATAATAACTGTGTAAAGGAAAAGAAATAAACCAGTGATTATACGAGAACTACTAATACATACGACTAGTTTTTACTTAATGGTATAACTTTTTTTCATTGTAGAGATGTCTTCACTACGTGGGTATCATCGAATCAAAATCCTCAGCAGAATTTCTCCACTGTGAAATAAGTGTTTACGCAAAATGATGTCGAACTACGTCATTAAAAATTACATAGAAGTTCTGCCAATGCGCAGAGACCTGTTGTTAACAGTAAGATATCTAAACTAAAATGTGTATATATAGAGGCCACAGCAGAATGACAAAAAAAAAAGGGAAAAGTCAGCGCTAATACTATCATAAAACAGTAAGGACTATGAAATGGAAGAAAACTCAAACAATCTCAAGAACTATTGTATGCGTAAAGAAATAATATAGCATCAGGAAAAAGTGTATAATCACCTAAAAAAATACTTACACGCGTATACATACATACATACATACATACATACATACATGAATACATAAATACATTTCAAATCAGATAGAAAAAGCGGAAATGTATTTACTTTACACTTTGTAGAACGGAAAGATACATACTTGTAAATTAAGAAGCCTTATTTACAATAATCCATTTTACTCTGGTCAAAAAATGTCTATCTACAAAGCTCGGGGCATATACTACTACTATTAGAAAGAAAATAAGAAAGCAGGATTAAGTAACCAGAATGGGGAAAGAAAAAATAAAGAAGACGACAATTTTCCTTTTCATAGGACCGCAATAATAAACTAATTACTTCTTTGTTGATAGACGATACGAGGCGTGCCAATTGTACAGTTAACACAACAGTACGTTCGTTCTTTTTAATGTCCCGAATTAACGGGTGAAAATTTTTCACTAATGATCAATTGATATGATTCGTAGATCATTTTATTCGGATTCATTTAAAAAGGACGCTACATGAAAATAATTAAATAATAAAATCGTCCTTATTGTATTAATTGCATCCATAATATGAAAATGAAAATTCGAAAGAATTAGAATGACAGCGGAAGACAGAATTAGTCGTAGCATTTTACGGGGTAAATGAGAATACAGAGAAAGGAAGAGATATTATTGCATGTAAATAATAATAATAATAATAATTACGATTAAATATATCCCATTTATAATAAAACAGTGAGAAGAAGAAGAAGAAGAGAAAAAGGGAGAAGATACGTGAGATAGAATGGGAGGAGCAGTTTAAAAATTAAAAAAAAAAAAAAATCAATCATGTCTGTATAGTAAACAAAAAAAAAACTGTATTACCTGGCATTGCCATGGGCCGCGGTTGTTGCATGTTTCCCCCTTCTATAATTAGCTAGGAATATTACTAATTATCTAGTATGATTATATTTATAAATATAAACATATATGTGTAATTGGTTGGTCAATTATATATACATGTTTGCACGATAGAACTCTACCTGGTATCAAAAAGAAAAAAAAATGAAATAAGAAATAGTATGATAATGATTATATTGAATATGATAATGATGATGATATTGATGATGATGATGATGATAATGATGATGATGATGATGATGACGACGATGATGATGATGATGATGATGATGATGATGATGATGATGATGATGAAAAAGAAGATGATGATGAAAAAGAAGATGATGACGAAGAAGAAGATGATGATGATTATTAGAAGAAGAAGGTTGATGATGATGATGATGAATATGATGATGATGATGATGACGACGGCTGTACCCAGTGATGCATCCAATTCTCAGATAGTGTTTTTGAATATAATAAAAAAAAAAGGAAAAAGGAAGAAAGATAATTAATAAGAATTGTGAAGCAGCTAAATCTTGTTTTTGCCCTGACTTTTGTGGTTCTTGGTAAAGTTTCTGATTTTAATATTTATAATTTATAATAGGAATAATATACGTGCATTCTATATATATCAATCAAACGCAAATAATGAGGCGCATATCATATGAGATATTTATTTGTTACAATTTTATTATATTATTATTATTATTATTATTATTATTATTATTATTATTATTATTATTTTGTTTTCTTTCCACGCTTAAATCCGAATTGGAATCGACAATAAACAACGGATTTAAAGCTTCTTTTTATTACATTTATAGTCTTAAATTGAACAGTTGGAAATGTACAAAATAATAAGATATTCGTTGTTGCATATTTGCTGCCCACATATTAGGTTTTTGTATTCACCAGAGAAAAGAATAGATAGAAACGTCTTGAGTTGAAGTGGATACACACACACACACACACACTTTAGTACCTAGATATTTTGCTATAATCTTTAATTATTCTTCTTTTGTTTCCTTTAAGATTATAATTATTGTTTTTTTATAAGTATATATATATATAATATATCTTACAAATTGTATTTTTCTAGTGTAATTGTTTTTTCTTTTATTTTTTTTCTCTTTCCTTTTTGTTTTTTTTTTTCTTTTTTTTTTTTCAATACACGTAACAACGATTAAGATATTTAATTCTTGCAACGTTGACAAAGTATCAAATATACATATATATATTTTATTTTATTTTATATATTTATATACTTTTATAATATATACCACAAATCGTCTGTTTTATCAATATAATACAATATTGATTATGNATACATATATATATTTTATTATAATGTATTGTATTCGAAGTTTAATTCGAAATTTTAGCCGAGCTTTGGATTTATGTAATTAAAAAAAAATTATATATATATAATTTTTTGTATGAATATATATATGTATATATGAGAGAAATCGATATGTATATTTCATTTATTTTATTTTTCTTCTCCTAATTCACCAAATATTAAAAAAACATTTGGCATTTTCATACGTTTGTTAGATTTGTATTAATTAAAGAAATGAAATATATTGGAGAAGAATGTTAATGAATAAATTACGTATAAAATTTCTTTATTTTAATGTTACGACACAGATTGGTCATTTTATTAGGATTTATGATTATACAAATTACTTGTTCGCGTACACACACACACATATACACAAGGAAAAAAGAAAAACGTATAAATAAAGAGAAAGAATTCACATTTAGTGAACGGAATGCGTACTTTCGCTTATTTTTTACAACTAGTATTTAATTATCAGTTTCTCACAATAATTATGCTAAACCCTACAATCTTATTCATACGCGGGCATATTTTATGGAAAAAGTGAACATAAATATATCCGCGAATAATATATTCAAATTGTTTGAAAACAAGGAGAGAGAGAGAAAGAAAGAAAGAAAGAGAGAGAGAGAGAGAGAGTTAAAAAAAAAAAGAACAGAAATATGAAAGAAGCATTTCAAAATTAAAATAAAAAAAAGGATCATCCGATAATAATATAGCTGTATAAAGAAGAGATACATATATGAATATCTTTCCATAATTATCGTTGGAGACCACTCAATAATATCTGATTTCAATCAATAACACGATTGCGATAATTTTTGTTGTGGGTAACAGAAAATTATTGAATGTGTCTCGAAAAAAAAAAACGGAAAGAAAGAAAGAGAATGAATGTGCTAATAAATTTTCTTTTACTATTCTCTTTTTAATATACCCCCCCCTCCCACTTGTAAATATACGTAAATATATATATTCTACAGATTTGTAGGTTATGTAAACATAATCAATATTGTATTATATTGATAAAACAGACGATTTGTGGTATATATTATAAAAGTATATAAATATATAAAATAAAATAAAATATATATATAAATATATACATATACATATAGGATAAATGATAAAAAAAAAAAAAAAATATACTTATAATTCATAATTTTAAATGAAATAAGATAATTGATTTAGCCGAGAAAAGGCCTGTTTTGAACTACCCAGGCACGTGGCGTGTGTCAATAAAAAAAAAAAAAATAAAAATAAAAAAAAAAAAACAAAAAAATGGTATACAAAAAGTTACACAGAAAACACAAAATACCCCTCCCTCATTGCCCCGTATGCGTGTATATCCCTTAATACAGAAAACACAACTTTTACATTAATCGTAATCGCATAAATCAATATTAAAATAAATAAATAAATAAAATAAAATAAAAAATAAAGTGAATCTAGAAAATATCCAGCATATATTGTAGTACTAGCACTACGCATCAAATGCTAATATATGATGGTGATTTGCAATGAATTTATGTTAATTTTTATTGTTTTCTGTACAAAGACATAATTAAACGATTTCAATCTCAAAAATTTTCCTGTAATTTATTTTATGTAAATCCTATTTGATATTTATATATACCTTGATCTTTGAAGCCTATCATTAAAGTACGTATACAAATTTTTTCCAGTAAAATTTAAATATACATTTTATTCGCTTCACCAAATTTATACTTAAGAAAACGCAATAATAATTTATTTTTATTGTTAAATACATAATCTCATTTCAGTGGGATAACTTTACTTGGTAATAACTGTCTTTATAAATTACAGACTGCAATTTAAGCGGTAAAACCAGTTTCTGACTAGCAGCTGATAAGGATGGAAGTATTCTTGAGAAGAAAGATATGTATCCAAGGTTGAAAAAAGAAAGCACTCCCCAATAAAATCTGTAAAATTACTTACTACAAGGTCTTAAAAAAAGTATAAGATATAATAATAATATACCTTATAGGATACTTTAAGAATACTTTATAGGATATTTAACTAATTACTTTAGACCATTGGTATACATTAAATATCAAATTTTATATAAATGTTATAAAAATAATATCAATAAATGTAAATGTGTGGAAAGATAAACAAAAATTTGTTTCTTCGTCCAACTTTTAAATTCCTTCTACTGCCTTATTAAAAAAATCATTAAACTGTACTATCTTCTAGTAAGTCACATTTCTTTATTAGACATTCAGAGAAATTTTGGAAATTTCTAGAATATTGAATTTAGAAACAAGACAGCATGATGTGCAAAGAGGTGGCACGAGAAATCGTATTACCTTCCGATAATTAATATTTTCTTATTACAAATCTGAAATTTCCTATATTCTCAAATCTTGTTCTACATATTGTAAAAAAAAAATAAAAAAAGTTTACTAACATTTTTGTCAAGTTAAATAAAAAATAAAGTGGAAGAGACAAAATTCATTTTTTAATAGTCACCTAATATATAAAATCAAAGAATCCAGAAGTACATAGAAGCTTACAAGTCTACTCTTTTCGCGTAACCACAATCATAGTAGTTAGTACCCTGACCTGCGGTGGGAGAGAGTAGGTACCTAACGCGATGACGATACAATACTATCAAAAAATACAGTATTCTTTAATAATATATAATATACTATGTGAAAGAATTTAAAATAATTATATTTAATTTTTAGCATAGAAACATGTGTGTGCCTTAAGAAATGCATTTATATGTATATTTTAAAATGAAGCAATTTATAAGACATTCAAATAAAAAAGAATCCAAAAGGTTTGATGATAAATCCAACGATGATCACCTGTAACAAAAAGCAAACTATATTAATCATACAATCAAGTGATACAATAGCCTAATATATAAATCGTCCAATTCGTAGATGCACTTTTCAATTGAATTCTTTATTTACATAGTATATCATATATTATTAAAGAATACTGTATTTTTTGATAGTATTGTATCGTCATCGCGTTAGGTACCTACTCTCGCCCACCGCAGGTCAGGGTACTAACTACTATGATTGTGGTTACGCGAAAAGAGTAGACTTGTGAGCTTCTATGTACTTCTGGATTCTTTGTTGACATATACACATATCATATATATATATATAGTTATTTATTTTTTTTTAGTCATGGTATGTGGCTAGTTTCCGCTATGTGCCGCTGCTGTTGTATAGCCAACTGTGTTGTTCTAATGTCACTATGATTTTAATACAAATCTTACTAGGAAAGTGCTGCTATCGGGAAAGTTTGCATCTTGCCATTATATATATAATTTAAAAAAAAACAGAATAATATTCTTCTTACTTAAATTTAATGCTTGTGTTTAAAGAATTTTTGTTTACTCATAACGATTGAGTAGTATTTTTATAAAGTTCTGAATTAAATAAACAGTTATTTCTCAGTATCGATAACTTTATGCATTACAATATAGTTTTTTTTATATCATACTTATTAATTTGTGAACGAATCTAACCTCTTTACCAATAATCATGGAAACACGAACAGAATTCAAAATAAAAACACCTCCAAATGATGCAATTTCTGCGGTTGAATTTGGTCCTAATTCTACGCAATTTCTACTTGTTTCATCATGGGACAGTACGGTTCGATTATATGATATACATGCAAATAGTATGAGGTTAAAGTATAACCATGATTTACCGGTTTTAGATGTGGCATTTCAGGTAATGTACCTATACTATGAAAAAAAAAACATTTATAACAACAATTGACAAGCTATTGTTTGTAGGATGCGGTGCATGCTTACAGTGGTGGTTTAGGAAACACATTGAAGATGTATGACATCAATAGTAATACTGGTAATGAGAGTTTTAGTTGTAATTTACTGTATTATGAATAATTCTGAACATGTTGCTATAGAAAAATGTAAAACTTAGTAGTATTTTGACAGAATCAGTTATGGGAACACACGACAAACCGATCAGAAAAATAGAATATTGTGGTGCGGTGAATGCTATTTTAACCGGTGGTTGGGATGCTGCTGTAAAGCTTTGGGATCCGAGAACTCCTACTTGCGTTGGTAGTTATCTGCAACCAGATGTAGTTTTGGCTTTATCTGTTTGCGGAGATAAATTTGTAGTAGGTACAGCTAAACGGAAAGTCTGTATTTGGGATTTGAGAAATATGGCTGGTATGTTTCAAAGACGAGAAAGTAGTCTAAAATATCAAACAAGATGTATTAAAGGATTCCCTAATGAACAGGTTAATACAAATTTTATATATTATATTAGATAGAATATCTGTTGCTTATAAAAATTATTTTCTCGATTGGCAGGGTTACGTTTTAAGTAGTATAGAAGGCAGAGTGGCAGTGGAATATTTAGATACGACACCTGAAGCGCAGAAGAAAAAATATGCTTTTAAATGTCATCGAATAAAGGAGAATAATGTTGAGCATATTTATCCAGTTAATGCTATTAGTTTTCATTCTACTTATAATACCTTTGCCACCGGTGGATCAGATGGATTTGTTAATATATGGGACGGTTTTAACAAAAAACGTTTGTGTCAATTTCATAGATATAACGCTGGTGTTGCTGCACTTAGTTTTAGTCATGACGGTTCTGTACTGGCTATAGGTGTATCTTATTTAAATGAATCACAAATACCACCTGGTGGTACAGACGAAATAGAAATTTATATAAGATATGTTAACGACCAAGAAACTAAACCTAAGTAACATTATGCCATCTTAATAGGAGCATTAATTATAGTTCAAAAATTATTTATATCGCTCGCTACAGATCAGATTAAGACGGCATTGAAAACTTTTAACGAATATTCTTTTTCTATGCATTGTCATGTAAATATCAAAGACTATCAGGATTTTACACTTTTATATTTCTAAAGACATCTACTTCGTTGTTAACAATGGACTGTGAATGGTCAATATTATATATATAAACATTACAATGATTCTGACTGAAGAGTGAATCAATTATTCAAAATTATTAAAACAAAGACGAATTATTTGAATAAACTATCGTTTTTTTTAAATATTATTGCTTCCTCATTATTACATCAAATAATTGTACCTACGCGTATACTTATATGTATAGCAAAAAAAAAAAAAGATAAAAAGATTATATAAAAAGTTACTTCAAAAACACATTTTGTACTATAGCCAAAATTTATATTCATTCATAATATTATAATACGTAGAACGAAATAAAAAGAGATGTATTTTATAAAAGATTATATTTGCTAAAAAAGACTTCAATAACTAAATACAAGTAATTACGAGAGAAAGGCACGACCCCATCATAATAAAATATCAATGAAAAAAATCAAAGATTCACTATATTCTTAAATTGACATTTTTCTTTAGAGTTGTCCAGTAAATAAAGTAAATATATTTTATATTATAATATCGTTAC